ATTCTGGTAAGGTAGCAGGTATCTCTTGCTTCTGTTTGCAGAACAGAAGCAGGTAGAAACTGAATTAAAAGATGTTTTCACCAGAAGCTGCAATGCATGCAGGGGGCTGTGGTCTTCCCCTGGAATCTGCACAGGCTGGGCAGGAACACAGGGGCAAGCAGAGACATCAAACCAATGTCCTGACAAATTCATGGTTGTAGCACAGTGTGATGTGGCAGTGCGCCGGCAAAATGGCTCTTGGATGTAGCATCTGCTGGTTTCCCCAGCAAGAAGATTTTTATTACTGTTGTTGGTATTATTATTTATGAACCTTTGTATTTTACTGGCGGTGTTAGTGCAGAATTGCTTCTTCTTCCAGACCAGCTCCAAGTCCAAAGCAGCCTTCCTGGGTTTTAATCCCTGCATGCTCTCCACACTCAAGTATATCTCATGGACAGGGTTTCTGTGCTCGATTCCCCTCATTTCCTCTGCCTCACCATGAGTTCTTCCATCCAGTGATCCCAGAGTTCAGCTCTGCAGCCCATCCTGCTTCTCTCATATACAGCTTTCCTGAATCTCTCCATCTCTTCAGCTCTCTATGCTCTTCAAAAGCTGCTAGAATGTTCTTTTCTCCAGAAGTACCATCTGCATTGGCTGAGGTCTGGAGACACATGAGCTGGCACAGGGTCGCAGAACGTCCTCCAGCTCTGGAGGTATAGAGGCAGCATCCCCAGGCCCAGGAGGTACTCCCTGAATTCCTGGTTCGCTGCTCCCACTGCAGCCCTGATGCCTTTGCCCACCCACTTATTTTTCCTTGCCAATGGTAGAGGAGCTTCCTACTCATTCTTCCTGCTTTGCTACTTCCTAAAGCATCACAGAGCTGATATGCAGTGTATTTTCCCTGAGCATTTCCTCAGATTTGGAACTAATTTCTCCCTCTCTCTTTTTCTCTCTCAAACTGTCAGTTAGAGTCAAAGTCACCTTGTGCTCTACCAGGCACAGCTCATGCCCGGCTGAGCCTTCCTGTCTGTCTCTGAAGTTTCCTATGAGACCATTGTGTTCACACATCTCTTTTATTTTTCTTTTCTTTCAGGACTGTTGTCAGCTGAAAATCCAACCCTTTGACCAAGCTGTTCAAACAGTGGCTTAACTGTGCCTTCCCTCAAAGCCCTTGGACAGGCTCCCTGTGCTCTGCCTGCCTGGCACAATCCTGAGAGTGGATATGAACATTTCATGAACTGGCCAGTGAGGGAATAGGCTTTGGAGCACCAGAAGCCTATAGGGCACATATCCTCCCTTGCCACATAGTCAGTGGCTTTGGTGACTACCAGAGGCCACCACTCTACCTCCCACTGTCATTGCAGAAGAGGCTGAAAGAGCATGGGAGGCCCTAGGGATGCTAAAAGACCCATGAGTGCACTGGATCTCTAGCAATGGGAGGCCAGTCCAGAGACCTGGAGCTGTGCAGGTGGTCACAACCTGCAGGGATGCACAGTGCCAGTACTGAATAGCGAATATCAGAAACTAGAAATTGAAGAGGCTCCTTCTTGATACAGAGAGGGCACTTGAGGGGCTCAACACAGCACACCTTCATTCATTTCAGTCATGGCATGAAGAGCACAGAGCCACCAGCCCCCAGGGCAGAAACTGCCTTAAGTGTGCTTACATGCCAAGGCTGAACAGATCCTCACCTAGGAACCTGGTGGAATGTGCAAAACATACGGTAACCTTAGGGGAAGCAAATGCTGTAATGTCATCCCAAAAGTTAAGCTTTGGAAATCTGAGAAAGCAACAATAAGCAGAGGTGGAGACCATAGGACTGGGGTATTGCCTGGTTATTCTGTCAACTTCCCAATTGCCTGAATTTGGAGTGGTGATGTTAGCCAGCTGCAAGCCAACGCATTATTTTTTTGGGGGGGTCCAAATTCCACCTCTGTCATGGCTCTATCCATGTGGATAGACTTTGGCCTCCCACTCCTCTTCTTCCCCAATGCTCCTTCTGCAGGAGGAGCTCGGTCTCCATTACTCCTTCCCCACTCACTGGCCACATTTCAGTCCCGAGATGACTGGATGTGTAGATGTTCTGAAGGACTGAAACTCATTTCCTGTTGGCAATTTCTTCTGGCTGCAGGAAAAGAAAAACCTTCTGTGGGACTTGTGTGTTACCCACTTCCTTGTGCAGGAGGGAAACAGGGCCTCTTACTGTCTAATGCTCTCACAGGTTGTCCTTTGCGCCATTGCCATAACCTGCCTGAAAGAGTGCAGCTGTGACCTTGCTCTCAGAGCTCCAGGGTAGTTTGGCCAGGCAGAATCTGCAGCCCTCAGCAGTTTTAGCAGGAAAAGCCCATCCGGCTGCAGGTGTTGCAGGGTGAGGTAGGCTGGTTCCCAGAACTTGCTGAAGGGAAAAACTAGATCCCAGGGAGAACCCCTGAACACGTAGGGTCCATAAACTGGAAGTGTTCACACTTCACTTCATAGCTGCTAGTTAGGTATTGTGAGATGTCACCTGTAGCATGCGTTCTCCGGGCAGCTCTGCTCCCTGGGATTCTGGCATCTGTACTCTCATGCTCTGTGTCATTGCTGTGGGACAAAGTCTGTTCACTCTGGAAGGAAAATTGATTGCAGCAGGTCTTCATGTTTCTCCTTTTGTCTTCCTTTAACTGATGGTCCTCTAATTGTCACCCCCTGTGTCTATAGAAATGTGGTCTGGTGGAATCCAAGTTGGCTTTTTGACTCAAGTAATATAAATGGGTGTCTCACTCCCAAAGCTCAGGAAGGTTCCTGTCCTTTTTTCCCTTGCAGTTTGAAAGTGTCACCTTTTGTCCTCCTCCTACTCGCACTTCATCTGGCTTGCTGAGGCCCTCAGGAGGCTGAATGCTCATGTAATGCTTTGGAAAGATCTCATGTGGGACCTTGTTAGTGTTGTATTTCTAGTCCTCTCTTCCTCCTTGCTTTGCTTATGGAGCAGGTTGTTTTGGAGGAATTGGCATTCTCTGCTCTTTTTTAAGCAGTCAATGCAGTATCTCTTGCAGGTGTCTGTCCACGGCATCCACCTGCTAACACAAACATCATTTTCATCTTCTGCATATGCACTTGAAAAATAGTCATGCTTTAGACCTAGCTAACTGTAAATTGCAGCAACGTAGCTCCCTTTGGCCCACACAGAGACATTACTATGTCTGTGACTGCTTTGCAGCCTCTGTCTCTAGGTAGACAGCTCAGGGATGCTTTGGGGTGACCCTGCAGAGAACTGTGCATCATGACTTATCTCTAGCCCAATTGCAGTTCTCTCAAAATGCAGAATCCTCTGTCCCTTCCTTTCCATGAAATTCCATATAAACCTCTCCACTTTGCTTGAAGAGCTCGGTGGCTGCTTTGCTAGCAGGATACTGTTGATCATGACTCGGTCACTTAAAACTCAGCTGGGATCTTCTTGCAGCTTTTGTTAGACATACTCTTGGAGCAGGATGTCCTCCAGAGTGAAGACCATCCAGACGGTCCTTTTCAAGAGGAGGCCATAACTTACCTAAAATACTGTCTTTTCCAAAGGGTTTGGCTGTTACAGCTGCACACTCTCCTATGCACAGTCCAGACACTTTCATTTATGGAGAATTTCTATCATATAACTGCAAAGAGAAGCACTGAGGCTGGTGCCTGACACAGGAGGGAGAAAAGTACCTTCTTTCTGAAACAACATGCAAAACTTTCAGAAAAGAGCCAACAGTTGAGTAGAGTCTCCATCTCCTTGCTTTCATTTTTAGAACACACTGTCCTGGTATTACCAACTTAAAGCTGTAACTGTGCTGCCCTCAGCTTGCAAAGTTCCTCAAGGTCCTTGTGTAGCTTGTAGTGACAGGGCCAAGGCCCTGTGAGAAACTAACTGTTTCTTTCTACTGTAGCTGAACTTCAGCGGTGTGACGCTGGAACAGGACCAGCCGTACATTCATTTTGCAGCCATTAAGCATCACTTCAGACCCATTGCCATTGGGATGTTCCACCCTCCCACACAGGTGAGCATCCTTAGGCCAAACCCAGCAGCAAGTGGAAGGAAGCAGCTAGTGTTACTGGTCCCAAAGACAGGCAGTAAACCCTGAGGCATTTCCCAGGAAACAGAATGGCCTCCACAGGAAAACATCACAGCAGAACTCTGAGAGTAGTACCAGGCAGAGCTTGGAAATGGCTACTGGGATGGCAGCAGGGAAAGTAACTTTCACCATCTTCAGTTTGAAAGATTTCACTCTAGCCAGAAAGCTTATGAGGTGTGTTGGCCTGTTCCCTTATTCTTTTGCATTGAATCTGAGTGAAAACTTGTCTAGCTGCTCCAGGCGCTCTGGGAATAAATCTTAATTAGCTTTTTTGTAAATTAATTAAACATCCTTAAACACTTATTCAGCAAAAAGACAGCTTTGATTCTGTTCTGCCTAATTTACTTGGGAAATGAATTGGTCAGAATTGAATTAAGATCATTTTAATATGAGTGTTTTTGCATTTCAAGTAATCCGCGTTACAGTGATCTCTTTAGCCAATTTGTATTAATTTTCTCCTAGACAGAATTTGCAGGGCACCACTTGGAGAGGCACTGTAGTTATCAATGTACATGTGTGGTGATAAACCTTCAGCACAGCCTCCTATCAGAGCCTCAGTGATAAATCCTGACACTACGATGTCTTCTCATTCTTAGGAGACAAGCTGACTAATGAGTTATTAATGCTTATCAGAGTCCTCTGGGGAAGTGTTAACTAGTTTAACTTGCACGTGGTATAATAAGCACTGCTCTGTTTGACTCACTTCAGACTTACGACCTCTACAATTGTGGCTCCGTGCCTGTGATGTTTGAGGTTCAGCTGGACAGCATTGCGCGGATCCAGGAGGAGAATAATAAGCATCCTGTGTTTGTCTGCCTAACTCCTAGAGGAGAAATCCCCCCTGGCAAAACAGGCCACATTGAATGGATCTTCTCACCACTGGAAGCTAAAACATACTTGGTAAGGCCATCCTCATGACTGCCAGAAGCAGTTACTTTCTGTTGTTGTGTGCCTAAAATTCTTCAGATGTCTGACTGTTGATCAGTCCATATCATGCTGCAACTGAATTGAGCTCCATTCCTCCAAGAAAACCAAGGGTATTGGTGGTCAGGACACGGAGAAGATAAATTGTTCTCTCATAAGTTTTTCTTCCCAAAGAACAGATTTTTTCCACAGCTAGAGTCATCCCAGTACATATTTTTCAAGGATCAAACAGTGACTGGGGATATAAACAGTGTCTAATCAGATTTGTGGTTCATTGTTGGCCTCCAATAACTTCCATCAAAGGGAATGAAATAATTGCCTTTTATTGTTGCAGCATACACTGCTGTAGTCCTCCGGAAACAGCCTTCCCAAAGACATCTGTTGCATGGAAAAAATAAATACATTCCATTTTAAAACTCCCAACTTTTACTCCAAGAGGGAGCCTCTGCCCATCTCATGCAGTAACTGGCTAATTGACTACTTAACCAGCTTTCCTGGGTTAGCAGGGAAGGTCAAGGCCTGAAAGAGCAAAAAAGACTGTTTTTCTTTTCATCCATGTGTATGGCCTATTTAGACCAGTCCATTAGCAAGTGTACTAGCTTATTGCACATCTCTCTCAGATACAACTCTGAACAAAATATCTTACCTTGTCCATGGCAGGTTGATGTTCCCATCCATGTCCTTGGAGGCGAATCAGCTCTGATCACCTTCCAGGGAGCAGGCTACGATCCGAATACCGCAGGAGAGACTGCCACATCCGGTGATGTTTTGTCTCCTTCAGTCTTTCCAGTTTCTCCCAGGCTAACTGTACCTGGGCAGGTAAGTCCAAGTATGCTGATTTGAGCAATATGATCAGTCCAGAAATGTGTGAAAAAGACTGAAATATGTAAATGACCCCATCTAGCAGTAGCCTGTGTTGCAGGAGAGTTCATTTGCCATGAGATAGAGCATGATATTTCCCTTCCAGCAGGTCACCTAAAGCCTAACTCATAAAAGAAGTTGTTCTGAAAGGTGCCTTCCTTCGAGATTGCTCCTTCCACTGCCAATAGAACCAAAAAGGCTTTAGGGTTTGTTCACGTTCTGAATTTTCTATTAAAAGTTAGTCCCTGTCACAGCTACCTTTCTTGTTTGCAGCTACAACACCTTTTTCTTTGGTAATTCATTCACAAAAAGAGCATGCTCTGACATGCTCTGTTGGGTTTGGCTGCCGCCGATTCACAGCCAAACTCAGGTGATTCATAACCTGAATGCAGACTGCAGGCTGGTCACTAATTCAGGCATATCCCCAGGAATGCACTTCTTTGACCTGTCACTGGCTCAGCATGAGCTTGTTTGGCCTGGCTATAGCTGGCCTGCCATGCCGGACAATCTGTTGTTAAACTCAGTCACAGACCCCAGCATAGTGAATCAGCACAAAACAGCATCAGCAGAGGCATACTCCAGGCAGGTAAAGGATTCATCCTGTGTGACATTAGCATGCCTGCCTTGGAGCCCAGCCACAGCTACATATGCTCTTTGGTTTCCAGCAGGGTGATTGCATTCATGGATACAGCGAAAAGATGATGATTTAAAACCTGTCTCAGGCTGCCTACTAAGATGTTAATCCACAAGGCTCTGTTGTCTGTAACCAAAGTCATTAGCTTCTCTGATGATCACTGTAATTAATTAGATTTTACACTGTGCCTGGAGAATGGAACAGACTAGAAGCATACAAGTAGTAAGGCGTGGTGGGGAGCAGTTTCCCAAAACTCCCACTCAGGTTGCTGAGGATTTTGCACAAGCACACACCTCACATGTTTGCCAACTGAAGTAGGCAAAGGCCTGGATTGCAAGTGCTGCAGTGAGAATCTGGGTGCTACCGCTCCTCTGTGCTTCTGTGATCCTCTCTTGTCCCCACAGCAGTGTTATGTACTATCCATTGCTCACTCAGTTCCACTGTGTTAAGACTCTACTGTTGCTGTAAAGAGTCATTGTAACCAGAGCAAAAATGAGAGAAATATAAAACTCCCTCAAGTTGTTATGGTGAAGGTAACTGGCAAATATCTATGAGAAGATGTCTGTGACTGTCCTTCTCCAATGGCCACATCCCATCTTCCTTCCCTGCTGTTCCTCCTGGTTTCACCTTGCTTCCTGCAGGCAGCTGCCTTGTCACACCAGAGAATTTGCTTTGGAAATATCCCAGACTGCACCAAAGCCAGTCAACTTGTCTTTCTCAACAACATCTCGGAGAGCAAGGCTGTTGTGTTTGCCTGGAAGATAAATACTTGTAAAGACAAGAGGGTGAGTCCTTCTCTTTCCTCTACAGCCTTCTTGCCCATTTCTGTTTTGCCATAAAATGACCTTACAACCCAATTTTCATCAAGATGCTCAGAAATGATCCTAGTGAATTGGCTTTTGTACTTGGTGATGAAAGGAAAAGGTAGAGAAAAGTGAAGGTAAGGGTTAGAACAGGGGTGGGAGGGAAGACAGGAATTCAGAAGAGGAATTTGCAGACTTCAGAGATTCTCAGGGGATATCTGAGGGTACACACACCTAGACTACAAGATGTGATAATGAACCTCAGGACCCTGTCTACCAGCAAAGTCCATGGTCATTCTTTGAATGTCAGCTGCATCTCTCTCATGCTACGTATCTCTGAGAAGAGGAGGGGAGAGTATTCCCACATTCCTGTGTTTCTTGCAAAGGCACATAGGAAGGTCCCAGGACAGTGAAACAGCTCCTCTATGGCTTTTTCTTCCCCCCAGGTGTTGCAGATTGCTCCAGAGTCAGGGGTTGTGGAGCCTGGAGAGAGCATCCCCTGCTTCATCACACTGCAACCTTTAGGGTGTGCTTCCTTTTTCAGCACGGATCTGGTGTGTGAGGTGAGACCCAAGAGCTACCTGGGTATTGCCATTACCTAGGCATGACACTGCAGTTTCTAAATGGCTGGCCCCACCATCCAGCTGCCTGCTGCTTCCAGCTAAAGGAATCCTTTGCTCCATAATGCTGGCCTGCACTTCTCATTCCTGAAGATACTGATCTTCATTTCTACTGATGCTTTAAGTGTCTCTCTGTCTGTGTGGCTCACTAAGACGTAATTGTGCAACATGTGGCTTTGAGTTGAATCCTGCTATTAGAAGTCACAGTTTGAATGAGAGTGGCTTTCCAGTAGTGCCACTCTGGATGTTTTCCAGGTGTCCTTTAGCAAGAGATTGTGTCTTCTCAGTGTAAGTCTTATAGTAACACTGTTTTCTCCCCTTCCTGCCACTGGAAGACATGGAAAGGGAGTGAGCTTCTATTTGGGACCTCCTGGAAGGGAGAAATTGGTGGCAGGCATGGACTTGATCCAGAGACTGTGTTATTTACAGCTCATTTCTAGCCCTGCTTCCTCAAATCACAGTTTGCTTCATAGGTATACATCCAGGAGACCCTGGCTCAGTATGAGAGGGACCTGCAGGAGCGGGTAAAGGAAAAGGAATGGCAGGCTGTAGAATTCACCATCACAGAGAAGGACCTTGGGACTAAGAAGCCAAAGCCACCTGCAAGGGTAAGTGCTGCCAGAACTTTACACCAGCTTAGTTCAGCTCAGAAACAGCAGCCAGTATCAACACGAAACATTCTTTAAGAAAATCTAGGCATGATGAGGGGACATGAGGTGCTGATCTACTCAAGATCTCACAGCTGTGCTATGGGTAGTGGAAAAGGAGATCTTGGTTTCGAGCCAAGAATCACCTTACAAACTCTGAAATTGCTAATGATCATCTGAAATTTGGAAATGCATGAGAAACCTTAGGATAAACAAAGCCAGTGGCTCTGGAAACCGAAGGTTGGATTTTTAACCATGAATAAATACTGGAGAAAAATGTGTAACTAACAGTAAGAAAGTGGCCTGAGTGAAGAATGGGAGGATAACATCATAGACTTTAAGCTGGGACAAAGTAAAACAGAATCCTTAAATCTTGTTCTGCTCCGTATCTTTCCTCCATAACAATTTCTCTTCCTTTTTCTTTTTTTCTTTTTCTTTTTCTTTTTCTTTTTCTCTTTTTCGTTTTCTTTTTCTTTTTCTTTTCTGTGTTTTGTTTTGTTTGTTTTCAGAGGTCATCAGATTCTGCCAAGACAGAAAATCTTCCTGAATCCTCAGCTGTGTTCAGGAAATACAAGGTAAGTCAAGCCTGTCTCACCCATAGTAGAATCAAACTGACTGCTTTAGAAAAGAGGCAGATGCTGGATATCACAGCGTGGGAGCCCGGACAGAGAGCACAGCAGGGTTTGTAGCTTCAAGGCTTTGGGAGACAGACTGTATGGAGGAGCCAGAAGAATCAGACTGTCTGGCTGTGTCCCATGGGCAGTAACTTTCCAGCTGAGGTGAATGGGAAATGAAATTAGAACCAAATGTGCACCCATGACTGGAGAAAGGGGTAAAGAGTTCAAATAATCAGAAAAGCTGTGCACCAGCCAAGATTATTGTGACACTGTCTCCTGTCCAGGATCTGGCAGCTCTGCCTGCAGGGCTTTCCAGTTCTTGTGGCTGTGTTCAAACCTACACCAGCCTCCCTGTGGCCAGAGGAGCCACTAAGTACCTGCCACTTCCTTCTCTTCAACAGACATTACCCCCCATTAAAAAACACCATATGGCCAATTTCCCAGCTGGACACTTACAGAGGAGGCTGCTGTTGGACAAAGAAGCCAGTCAGATGTGGGTCAAACCAGAGCCTCCTAAGCCCATCCTCTTACACCTTTGTGTGACAGCCAGGTCCTACTCTACTGAGGACTTCTACAACAACTTCACCTCGAAGTTCCCCAAATACTTCTTGTCCCGGTAAGAGATCCACCTTTTTGCATTGGCATCTTCATCTGAGTCAGGGCTGCCCATGCTGTGATATGCACTGAACTTGGAGATCTGCTCTGTTCCTCTCCAGTGACTAACACTTAGGCAAGAGGTGCTTTGCTTTCCCCAGCATTAGCTGACATGACCTGTTTCTCTCTCTCCCTCAAAAGGGAGATACTGTCTGAGCTCAGTGCTCTGCTCTTATGCCAGTGTCCCTGCTGCTGTCACAAATGCAGTAGCTTCCATTCCTTCCCTGGCTCTGTGCACCAGTCCCTGCTTGCCTGCAGTGCTGCTGTTCAGCCAGAAGGATGCAGGTCTTTGATGGTTCAGTTCAGTAGTGCTGCCACTGATGGAAGAACTCCTTCTTTCCTAGCCCCTTCAGTGACCAGCCCTTGAAGACCAAGATTGTGGGTGGCAGTAAGGACAGAGACAAGATGGACATGGACCCCAAATTGCTATCCCTGGCTACTGCTTCTGAACAGGAGTTGCAGATAGTGACTGACATACTCCAAGATGTCATCAGGTGAGCGTCCCTTCACCCTCACCTGGTGTGGAGCCCCTGTCCTCCAGGGAAGTGTGTGCAGCACGGCCAGCCCTCTGCTAATCCCAGAGGAGTCTGTGCACTCCTGCTGCCCCAGAACAGGGGATCCAGCCTGTCAAAGGCTGCCCTGGGAACTACAAACTCAGGAGTCCTGGTGTGACAGCCAAAGGCAGGGTTTTGCTCCCCAGCTAGGGGCTGGGCCCATCTCTGCATAGTTATTGATCTCACAGCCCAGGAACCAGAGCACTCTACCTGCCATGGTCTAGGGAACAGGCTGCATTGGGATTCACCTATTTTGTCTGTCAACTGCAGAAATGTGAAGAACCAATGCTGGGGATTCAAAGGTAGTTTCCTTAGCTTAAGGCATATTGCTGCCTCCCTTAGGCCCAGAAAGCAAGAAGGAACAGACTAAACATTGTGCTGTCTTGTAATAATCATTTGGGGTCATGCAGATATCCAATTTGCTGGTTCTCATATCTTATTTTCCTCCTCCCAGAAGCCTCTTGGACAACCCTGAGTTCCATGATGCCATGAGAAGAAGCCTGGATGAGCCCATTCCATATTTCTCCCAGTTCTGGAGTGCAGAATCAGCAGAGCTCCAGAACAGGAGACAGTGCTCCACAGTCCCCTCTAGGGTCCCTGCTTCCCCAGATCTTTGTCCTGAGGAGGATGGAGAGGGAAAAGAAAAGAGGCAGGAAACCTCTCCCAGTGATGATTTGCTGGACTCTTTGGAGATTTTGCACCACGAGCAGTTGAGGGAGCAGAAGGAAATGATAAGGAGGTGAGGAAAAGCTCACACATAAAAGGCAAGAGCTTTACAGGAAGCCATGGCAGCACACTGCTTGGACCCATTTCTGCTTCTGCCATGAGACATTTCTGCTGTGGTGTCTTGGGTGCTTTGGGTGGAAATCCATGCTAGCCCACTTAGCCACCCTCTCCTGAGTGTGGCTTACAATGAATGCAGGTTTGCTGTGTCTTGGGGTTGAGCCCTGGGCAGTGCCAGGATGCTGGGGGCAAATGAAGTCTGCTTTATGCTTGGACACTCCTGGCCATATTTGACACTAAAGTGTGGTGCGTGCTTACCTCGCCTTCTATTTTTACTGCAGTATTTCATCACCCTGCATTTGCTGTGTCTACACCCTTGCACACTGCTATGGGCCACAAGCATATATACAAATACTAACTACAGCACACCTTGGATGGAGAAGCCAGGAAAATTACAGTTACCCAGCCCTGTCTGAGGTCGAGGCCTGATGCCAGCTGATGGCAGTTCTGGGAGAAGGGTCAGCACACCATTGCTCAAGTCTTTGGTTCATTGGCCTCAGTGTGTAGGAAATAGTATGTGCTCCACTGCCGTGTCTGATGTGTCCTGGGAGGAGTCACAGCAAGCAGCCTGCCTTATCTGCTTTCTGATAGCTGTCCTCTGCCTGTACTTTTGTTCCTCCAGGCAGCCAGCCCTTGGGAACCTGGTGGAGTCAATGCTGGAAAACATGGTGCAGAACATCCTGATTGAAGCCAGCCGTGGGGAGCTGGAGCTGACAGCCCAGCCCAGGGTCATTGGTCTGCCTCTCAGCCCTTCCCAAAGGTAGCAGAGTGTATCTGTGCTGTGGTGGGGGACAGGACCTGTCTTTAATATGTCAGGTTGAAGCACAGCCCAGTTTTTTTAGACCACATGGATTACCTGGGTCACTGCCTATCAATGCCAAGGCTGCCTGTGCAAAAGGGAAATCAGTTCCCAAAGCCTCTGCCCCTTCTTGATGTGTCCTGAGCCACAGACCTGAGGTGGTAATGCTACAGCATTTCTGAGGGCATGAGACTGTCGTGCAGCTCTGGGGCAGGACTCTATGAGTGAATGGCTGGCAGAGGAGGCTGGCCCAAGGAACTGGAAAGCCTAACACAAGGAGACTCTCTTGGGAACGTGGTCAAGGAGTAGGCAATGTAGCCTCTGACAGCAGAAAGGGGGCAAAGCTATTGTAGTTCAAGACGGTGTGGGATCTAGTAGGTTGAGGGCATAGCCACTGGTGGGGAGGCAGATCAGATTTGGGGTTAAGAGCGAAGCATGAGGATTTGCCCCAGTCTGCGGAGAAATGCAGAGAGATGGGATTGAGGGGAAAAGGAGAGAGTTGTTCTTCATCCTGTCCCTGTGATGTCCAGAACAACTCTGATTCTCCCACACCACAACCTGAGCTCAGCATGCTGTCTGTCTTCAAGGAGGTATCTCCTGATTATGTCCTCAGCTCCAGTTTGAATCCTCTGGCAACTCCACTCAATGAGATCTCTCTTCTCTGTCACTGGCCAAATCATTGGAAAAGAACGTCCCTACACTACAGGAAGCCCATGGACAACCACTGTGACTGTTCCCACCGCCTCCAGTCTACCAGCTGAGAGATGAGTGGAGTCTGCTTTGAAATGTAGCCAAGGATGAACTAACACCTGGGCACTGAGATGCTGAGCCTCTGCTAACATCAGTAGGATGCAGGTACTGAATCCTCCTCCCCCCCTTCTCTAGTAGCTGCTGCAGGTTCTACACACAGAGACCCTGCAGCACCATCTCACACACTTGGCAGTCCAATAAAAAGAGTTTGGCCTCTGGGCACATGGACACCGGTGTGTAATGTACGTAACTGATGTATCTGGGTTCAGGAGCACCCTGGAGGAGCTCTCCCCTTTTCAGACTGCAAGGCTGTTACTCGGGGAAGGGGATGCTTTCAGCCTTGGCCTGGCAGAGGGATCCGGCAGGCTGCGGGAGCCTGTCGCTGTGAGCGAGTGGGGTTTGTCACAGCCGGGAGGTGGCAGTATGAGTTGTGAGAAATCGCACGGATCGCTGAGCACCGGCTGCCTGCTCCCCGGCAGAGACTGAAGCCGGCTGTGCCAGGCAGCAGGGCTGCGTTTGCAGCACCTCCCCTCTTCTGGAGCCCTGCCACAGGGTCTGCTACACAGGGCTCACCCAGCCACCCTGCTTTAGTGGTAATGAAGCTGGTGTCCCTCTCCAAACCCTCCTGCCCTGTGTTCCCAGTGCCAGGGCTAGCCAAGACTGGATCTGCACCTTTTCCCCTTGCAGCCCAAGAGGAGACCATGCACAAGGAGCTGCAGAGGGCTTCCACCCTGCTGGGCAGAGAGCAGGTGTGTGCTGTGCTCGGGGGTGCTGCACCTCACCCAGCACCGTCCCTGCGTCCTGTTCAGTGCAGGAGCCCTGCATGCGTAACCGTTACTACGCCCCAGGGCCGAGCTGTTCCTGTTGTATGAGATACAGCGAAGGCACTGCCAGTTCCTGAGCTCAGCCTGGGCGCCTGGGGCCTTCACAAGGAGTGCAGCCCTGCCTCCCACCACGCTGGGTACCAGATCTCCCACATCACCGCAGCTTGTCTGTCTTCCTCTGGGCCTTGGCTGGTGCTGAGCAGATGCTGAGGCACCACCTCCTTCCTCCCCAGCTCAATCAGCAGCAGACCCTGGCTGTTCAGTCCAGTTGGGGTGACTCTGCCTGCTCCAGGCTCCTCGATAGGATTTACTCACTACAGATCCTCTGCAGTCCTGTGACAGGCTTCCCAAATGGGTAACACAGGCAGGGGCAGGAGCCCCTTCATCTTCCTAAAGCAGGTTGAATTCAGCTGCCTGCAGGAGCCCAAAGGCAGCCTGGAGCAATGGAGACAGGAGGGTGAGTTTGTCCATTCTCAGACCTTCTGCGTGATCTGATGCTCTCTGGGCTGCATCACCATTAAGAAAATAGTGTGTGTTATGCTGGTGTAACACCCAAAAGCAAATGGATGGAGCATGAGTACAGACACAGGTGCAAGGAATGATATTTTTGTGATTAAGCTCACAACCTCCCCACTCTCCTGTGCTGCGGACCTGGAGGTAATGGGACTGGCACTGTATGTGCCTGTTGAAGCACGATCAGAGATAAATTCACTTCTCTGATTAGCGTCTCTCTGGTAGGAGAGTGCCCTGAGACAGTGCCTTCAGCAATGGGTGAGTCAGGGAACAAGAGGTTTAAGAGCTACCTGCGCCACTGAGAGAAATCTTTCATCCCTCTAGTCTTTGCAGGTAGTGTGAGGTGGTGGTGTGTCACCTCTCTTCTAGGTCTTCTCTGGTGCCCGTCAACCAGAACCACTCAGCATGCACTAGGCAAAGCTATTAGCAATTGTCACACTCTTTTTTTCTGTTATTCTCATCCTAAGTGAAAAATACACCAGGGGCAGCCCCTTTCCAGGGTTGGGGAAATTCCTGCTTCCTTTTCTCAAACTGGGAATTACTCCCTGGCCCCGGTTTTGGAAAACGTGTGTGTGTGTGACCAAGCCACACCACTGTCCCTTTGGCAAAGGGCCTGGGAGACAGTAGCACTGCTAAGTGGTGAGCTCTGCTGAGCGGGTACCCCACAGTAGTGCCCTCACCTTGGGGCTTCAGTGCCAGCTTCTCCTCCCCACACTTGGATCTTGGGGGCAGTGGTGAGGTGAAGGGTGGGCAAAGATGTGCAGTGCTAGCAGGGAGGATGTGTCTCTTAGCAAGAGGCTTTGTTGCTACCCACTGCCAAGGGTGAAGGCAATGAACTGTGGGACTTAAACAGAGCCAGGCCTACATCCCAACTCGCAGAAGAGGGGAGAATCACAGAATCACAGAATGTTAGGAATTGGAAGGGACCTCAAAAGCTCATCCAGTCCAATCCCCCTGCCGGAGCAGGAACATCCAGATGAGGTTACACAGGAAGGCGTCCAGGCAGGTTTTGAATGTCTCCAGAGAAGGAGACTCCACAACCTCTCTGGGCAGCCTGTTCCAGTGCTCTGCTACCCTCACTGAGAAGAAGTTTCTTCTCAAAGAAGAAGCCCTGTCTCTCTTAACCACATTTGGGTCTCAGGCAGAAGGAAGTCTGAGCTTGTTGTGCTGGTTTCCAGGGCTGTATTTGGCCCCTGCCCCAACACCAGCCATGTTTCTAATGCACATCTCTCTAATGGAGATATTGTACATATGGGTCCTGCTCTTTTTCACTGGTGTTTGGGTGGTGAAGTGGGGTGATGCTCCCATAGGGCTGGGGTTGGTGGCCAGGCCAGCCAGGAGAAGCCGCAGGCAGGTATAGAGGAGGTGAGGATGGCTGAGTGTGAATTTGGTGAGCTGATGGGGCTCCCCTCCTCCTTGTGCTGGTTATCAGGAGTGCTCGGTCACCAGGCAGTTAATGCAACACACAACAGGCCTTTTCTTCTTGGCTGTTAGTCCTGGCTCCTAGGGAGGGGTGAAATGGCCTTGAGGCAGGTGGGCAACAGAAGCTATCCTGAATCCCATTAAAACATTTAACACCTGCTGAATCGTGCCATTGTCTGGGAGATAAAGGGAGGTGACAAACAATGATAGGACAAGAGGTAATGGGCACAAGGTGGAACACAGGAGGTTCCACTTAAATTTGAGAAGAAACTTCTTCTCAGTGAGGGTGACAGAGCACTGGAACAGGCTGCCCAGAGAGGTTGTGGAGTCTCCTTCTCTGGAGACATTCAAAACCCGCCTGGACGCCTTCCTGTGCAACCTCATCTAGGTGTTCCTGCTCCGGCAGGGGGATTGGACTAGATGATCTTTTGAGGTCCCTTCCAATCCCTAACGTTCTGTGATTCTGTGAAAGCTGCTCTTGGTCTTCCCTGTCTGGATGTCTGCAAGGTTGTGCTGGCCCATTGCAGCTGGGGAGCCTGAATTCTTTGCATGGCCCCACTTCGCATGGCTCTGTGTCCATGTGGGGAAGGTGGCAGTGCCAAGAGACAGTCCCCTGGGCCCTTTGCTGGCTGGAATCAACCCCTTCTCCCCTTGCACTGAGTATTAGGTAGGAACCTGGAGAGGTCTTGCCCCAACTAGCCTGCAGTGTCTGCGCAGACAGGGCAAAGTCTGGGGAGCAAAACCGTGAAGGCGATCCTCCCAAAATCCTTGGCAAAACCAGGCAGAGACCATCGCCTTCTGGCCTCTCATATCAGAGATACCAGACTTTGTGGGCTCAGGTGCATTGCTTTGTTTATTTGGGAATGGGGACATTCTGGTCAGGCCAGGGCACAAAAGTGGCTCCTGATGGACATGAGGGATGCTCTGATGTGAACTAGTCCGTCCTTTTGGGACAATGAGGAGCACAAACCCTTCCCTGCTGCAAGACAGCGCTGAGCCTGCCTGTACCAGGGCCAGCCTCATTTAGTGTATGAGCAGGGGCTTGGTCTCAGTGCTGCCTGCCTGCCAGGGAAGAACACACGCTGGTAGGTGCCACCCTGGAGATGCCAGGGCAGGTGGAAGATGTTCCCTGGGATACCTGTCTGGTGCAGGGCACTCTGCAAGCTGAAGGCACCCACTCGTCTCCTGTTTCCCATAGGGCAGTCCTGCAAGGGCAGACTTTGCTGTTACTTGGTACATGGTGGGGCCCTGCCTTGCAGGAGAGACGTTGGAGTGAGAGAACATTTCTTATAGAGCACGCAGGCTTGGAGATGGCTGCTGGAACTACTGCAGCACTGGTGTGTTTAGGGGTTTTCTGGCTTTTCTGGAAAGTGGGAGGGACAACCAGGCAGCCTATGCCAGGAGCTGCTGCTCTGCTGGTGCATGGCTCAGCAGGGAGAGGCGAGAGTCCTGCCTT